AGCTGTGAAATAAGCATCTTTAGTAGACTAACTGAAATGCTTTGAGAAAGGTTTTCCTTTTTTCTGAAAACAAAGCCCAAAGCATAGCTCCTCTGCTCCCAAATCCAAAAAGCAGGTTATTACCTGCAGAACAAGAAGTAAGGATTATTCACTGCTTGCCATCAGGGCGCCTGGCCTTTGAGCTTTCATTGAGGCATGCCGGGTAGTGGGGTGGGCACAGGAGTGAAGCCCGGTGGCACCGCAGCTTGGGAGCTTTATGCCCCCGTGTGGCCAGAGATTTCCCGGCACTCTCCCCTCAGGTACCAACTCCCGATTGCATCCCCAACCCTCAGAGTGGTGTGGTGCCCTGCATTCCTGCTGCACCCCGGTACCCAGGGTGGGCCGCCCCAGCCGCCAGCATTCCAGGATTAGGCTTTCTTTGAGCCTTCCGGTGAAATCGCCTGTCTTTTCTGGCCCCGGATCAATTTGGGATGCTCTGGTGTGGATCAAGGACTTCCTCCCACTGGAATGGAACCTAGGCTAGAGTAGCCTGCAGGTCTGTCCCACCTTCTCCCCCCTGGCTCAGTGTGCTAGGTGCCTGCAACCAATATCACAGGAGATCGTGTTCCAGGGCACAGTGAATATGGCTGAGGGTGGAATTTCTTTGTGTTCAATTTTAGCCGTAGGCTCCTTGAGGCCAGAGGATCTGGAGTTTCTTTGTGTCATGTGCTGAGTCAGAGGCCTACACGTCTATTCTGTAGCCTGTCATGGCTGCTAAAGCAGGGGGCTGAGTGAGGGTCTGGTTCCTTTATATCTAAATTATTAGAAGTGAAGCCTTTGAGTTTAGTTTACCCCTTTCAGTTATAATCTCCCCTTTCTATATATACAATGCAATATATAACTTGTGTACACACACACACACACACACACACCACATCCAGGCTGGAGAGGTTCCTCGACAGTTAGAGAGCTTGCTTAGCCTGCTTGTGTATTATCAGTATCATACGCACTTTGGGGAGTCAACTGAAGCATGATGGAGCTTATACTTAGTGAAAATTAAGCCCCACCTTCAGGTCTATAGGTATGGATATGAGATGAAGGAGAGACGTTTACTTCCATGATGTAGTCACTTAGTAAGGGGCCCATGTTCATGCCAATGACCTCACATCCAGGACTCTATAACCAACCCTAAGGAAATACGTTAGGTCTCTGTCAGGGCCCATAAAGATGGCTCCGCTTCATCTTGGCTTAAGGGCAGAGAGTTCAAAACTATCCTTAGTAAGTCATTAAGACCTAAAGGTCTAAAGCATGGCTACAGTAGGATGTTTTGTTCTTGGCCTTGGGTGTCTTATCTAAATAACAACAGATTTGTTATGAGACGTGGTTACTCTTGACCCTCAATGCCAGATAATGAGAAATTGAATCTAAGGTGTGGTTACCGAATCCTTAGAGAACTGAGGAAGAAAGTCTGCTTGTTCTGTATACACGATACCATGTTCCCCTTTTTGGAGAAGGTATTTAAGAATAGTGAAGAATAAACTCAGGTGTTCAGTATTTACTGGATTGCCCTTCTGACTCTACCCCACGTCTCTGTCTTTCTCTTAATGTCTTTACCTAGCCTTTCTCAATCCACACTCCCCTTCTCAGGTATGAACCGGGGGGAGGTTGGCTGGTTCTGACTGCAGCCCTGCAAAGACAGGTCCCCACAGGTCTGTCTCTCTCTCTCTCTGTCTCTGTCTCTCTGTCTCTCTCCCCTTACCTCTACTGCACCCACAGGGCAAGAAAGCAGAAGCGGCAGGATGGGATCTGGCTGAGAAGATGACGGGGTCAGTGGGAGGAGAGGACAAGAGAGAGTAATGGGGTAAATAAAGTCAAACATACACACATGTATGAAAATGTCATAAGGAAATGATCACTGTGTATATTTAATGTATACTAACAAAATAGTAACAGGCTTATTCCATTTAGAATTTTATTATTATAATGTGTTATCATTATTAGAGATAAGTTCCTATAATGTAGTCAAGCTAGCTTCAAACTCACAGTCCTGCATAAATCTTCCAGAGCTGGCATTACAGGGTTGAACCACACGGAAAGGCTTGGGATTGTTCTGTTGTTGTCACTTCCACTGCAAATACTATTTGGACTTGGTTCAAGTTTATAGCCTGAAAGCAAGCAAACAAACAAACAAAAAAAAAATCCACAGAAAGTACTGTAGCCGGGTGTGGCAGTGAATCCCTTTAATCCCATCACTCAGGAGGCACAGGCAGGGGCAACCTCTGTGAGTCTGAGGCCAGCCTGATCAGGATAAGGAAGTTTTGATCACTCTGGGATATGTAACACGACCCTATCTCAAGCAAAACAAACAAAAAGAAGATGCATGGTGGTATACAAAACTGCAAAAGAACATTGATATTACAGAACCAGAAGAGGCGGCTGCTTAGCCTGAAATAGGGCATAGACAACACTCTGTGTGTGTGTGGGGGGGGGGGTAGGTAGGTGCAAGGCATGCATGCATGCATGTATACATATTCAGATGTGAGCACACATCAGGTGTCTTCCTTGCTTGCCCTATACTTTATTTATTGTGGCAGGGTTTGTCATTAAACCCAGAGTTTACAGATTCCAGGTAGCCGGTTTACCTGGGGATCCCCTGTCTCCGTTTCCCAAGTACTGGGATTACAGATAGTCTGTAATACACTGGCCTATCTTTTACATGGGCTCTGGGAATCTAAGCCACAGTCGTTAAACTTGCAAAAGATATTTATGTACCTCCTCATTTATTCATCAATAAATCCATTATATCTTAGATGAGTCCATGAAATCTTTTTTTTAAAGATTATGTGTGTGTGTGTGTGCGCGCGCACGCTGGTTTTCTATGTGTATATCATGTGCCAGCGGATGCCCACAGAGGCCAGAAGAAGGCATCAGATCCCCTGGAGCCTGTGCTACAGGAGGCTTTGTGCAGGTCAGTGGGGATGCTGAAAATGGAACTCAGGTCCTCTAGAAGAACAGCAAGTGCTATTAACTGCTCAGCCATCCACCTCTCCAGCCTCAATGGCCCATGAAATTCTAAAACACATTTTAGTGCAATGAATTGCTTTAAAAGACAGACAGCCCTATTACTGTGCAGTATACTAATTAGTTTTTCAAAAGGTTTTATTTGTAAGGGGCCAAGCAAGGAGACAGAAGACTCAAGTCTTTCTCCCCAAGACAGTTTGAATACATTTACAAGGTAAAGAAGCAGGTAGGTTGATGGCCCTTGAAACGGTGTCTGTGCAGACAATTATGGTGTTAGTAAGACTTGGTGGGCATCCTGACTTAAAATAATATCACAAATTTGACACTTGTTCAGGCCTGACCAAAGGGTCAGAAGTTTCAACCAAATGGCCTCAATATTCTTAAAAATGACTCAAGCTACCGCTCCCACAACCCACAAGCCAGAAACACCACCAACAGTGAACCTGGTGGAGGCCATACATCTTTGAGACCTTCCAAATTAGTAGTGTTTAACTCCAACTGAAACCAAAGTAAGTGACCATTATCACTATTTTTGAGCCAAATTTGAAGCAAACTTACTGGCCAGGACAATGGATAGTGCCCAGGTCCATACCTGGGATTCCCAGTAGAGGCTTAGAAAGGAAAAACACATAAGGCTACATACTTCTTGCCTTTGTCCAATCACAGACAAGCATACATCCTGAAGTACTTCCTGCCTCAGTGTGATCAAGACATCCTGTGCAGCCTGGACAACCAAGCTTGTTTACAGAAGCAAATCGAGTGGCTTGTTATCTAACATGAATGACAGTCCCTGGACAAGTAGGGCTTACAGGTTAGAGGCATTTTGCTTTATAGATCTCTTAAGCACAATGATTTAAAACACAACCTTGGGGGGCAGTTGGGGGGTTGGGAAAGAAGGTCAGAGAGGATATGGAAGTTGTCCCTTGTAGACAGGAGAGAAGTAACATGTGCACACTTTGTTCCTTGTCTGCTTGCCTTACTCCTGTTCTTACACAGCTATGTTGGATGTGCAGTTCCCTCACAACTAGTTCCAACCTTGCTTTGTGATCTAGAACTGAGAGGTCCCCATTATCCATATGATTAAAAAATAAAGTAGCATTTGACTTCGACAAGGGACTCAGCTAAGCTAACTGTAGATCTTCATCTCTCCATCCTGTCCTCCAAATCCAACCCCCAGCTCACCCAGCTCTGTAGCACACACACACACACACACACACACACACACACACACACACACACACACACACACACACACACACACTGTCCAGACTCCAGCAGGCCTTCCCTGGAACCCTCAGGCATTCCAGGCAAGTAGCTTCATCTGTCCTGCCCCTCCTCTAAATCCTACCCCCCAGTCTCACTCTAAACTCTGTAGCAAAACACAAGCCTCCCTCTCCCCTCTGTCCCATTTCCATCAATCAGATCTTCCCCTCCAACCTTCCTCCCCACTCATCCTGTTACCCCACCCCCACCCCCAGAAGGCACTCCCTGGAAACCCCAGTCAAGCCTGCCAGATAAGCAAGTGGGCTGAAGTAGGTCATCAAGCCTCAGATTCTCACTCTCCTTCCTCTCCGAATCCAATCCCCCAGCCTCACCCCCCCCCGCATCTTTAGCAGACCACCTGTTGTGGCCTCTCCTCACTCCGCCCCCATTTCTAAAGGAGTTAAGTGATGCTATAAACCAAATGGACGTATCAGATATTTACAGAACATTTCACCCAAACACAAAACAATATGCCTTCTTTTCAGCACTCACACAACCCCCGCCCCCAACTGACCACATTCTTGCACGCAAAGCAAGTCTCAACAAATACAAGAAAATTTAAGTAACACTGTGTGAATCCTATCTGACCATCACAGATTAAAAGCTGAATAGCAACAATAGAAACCACAGAAAGCTTACAAACTCATGGAAACTGAACTCAGTACTGCGTGAAAAAATGGGTCAAGGCAGCAACTGAACACTTTCTAGAGTTAAATGAAAATGAATATACAACATACCCAACTTATGAGACACAATGAAGGCTGTTCCAAGGTGTAGATTCATATCACCAAGTTCCTACATAGAAAAACTGATCATCTCTTGTCACTAAATGAAGCTTCCAGTGCTGGGATTTGACGCCATCTGTGGGGAAGACTAATTCTATCAGCAGTTGGTAATGTCTGTGGCTCTTTGTCAAGTAGTGATGCCCTATGGATTTCCCTCTTCCTTGCTAATTGGTGTTGTCATTGTTCAGGTCTTGTTTAAGCTATCATATTTACGAGACTTCATGGGCATAGATACTTGTCACATCTAGAAGACAATCTTGCAGCAGACTTCCTGGTCCTCTGGTTCTTACAACTTTCCCCCTCCACTTTCTGCTGTTCCCTAGGCCTTAGATGGGTGGGCTATGTTGAGATGTAACAGTTGGGGCTGGATACTTCACATTCACTTGTTCTCTGCATTTTGATTAATTAAGGTTTGTTTCTCAGTCTGCTTTGGAAAGCAGCTGTTTTAATGAGAGGTAAGGACTAGACTTACCTGTGTCTCTGAACCAGACAGACAAGGGGGTGTACCAAAACCTCACTTAATAAAGTGGTGATCAAGTAAGGGGCATTCCACTTACTAGATGGAAATGAGCAAATAGTAGCCATTCTGTAAATTTTATGCTGGTTGTTTCTACCTCACCTATTTTGGCAACTTGTTTTCATTGCTATTGTATGAAGATTTGTGTTTGTTTTGTCCTTTGACTCATGGGTCATTGAAACATAGATGTGCCATCATCTTTGTCAAATGTACGTTTTCTCCACCTGTCATTTTTGATTATAAGAACTTCGTCATCCAATTTAGTCTAGCCACAAGTTGTCTTGATTCTTCCCTTACTCACCAGTACCAAAATTCTGACACTTTCATTTTCAAGCCATACCTCAAACTTGATCCTTATGTCTATCTGTCCAAATCAGTTTAGGCTTGCTTAGCTTATCGACAAGGCATCCTAAGTCTCTACTTTCAGATTTGTCCCATTGAGTAGCCACAGTGGCATATCTCAAATACAAAGTCTGAACCACTTTCCCAACACTTCAAGAATTCCCCACAACCTACCCACAAATCACTTTGCATGTTCCACATTGGCTTCCAACCTACCAAGAGAACTGTTTTCCTAAGAAATATGAAGCAGCCCAACGGTGGGTGCACAGGCCTTCAATCCCACCCTAGGAAGACCGACAAGTCCAAAGCCAGCCTGATCTATGGAGCGAGTTCTAGGACAGCCAGGGTTACACTTGAAAAACAAAACAAACAAAAACAAAACTGTGAAGCAGCTGTTCCCCTTCGTCCATCCTGGTAACAAATCATTGGAATTCCTTTGAGTAAACAAAAAAAGCAATTTATATTTGAAATGTCACTTCTTGGACCCTCATACTAAGTATCTCAGGAGTTTCCTTTTTTGTCCTTTAAAGTTTAAAAGAAGACAAAAATCAGCCCTGAATATACCTAAAGCAAGAAGTCAGAACTAAAGTGTCCTTGAATACATTTGATACAATGTATTCCTCTGTTGCAAACAATACTTGGTAATTAAAGAAACAAAATTATATGTGTAAGTGGATCACTGTGGCTCACACCTACAATGACAACACTACTGAGGCCAGAGTAGTGTATCACAAATTCCAGCAATCCTAGGCTAGAAGGCAAGATTTATCCAAGCAACAACCACCACCACAGTCAGAACTTAGAAAACCTAAAAAAAACTCATTTATAGAACCATTATAACTTAGCAAGAGAACTCTATACAAGTAAAGACAGCTTTAATACATAAGAAAGGAAGATAAGCCGGGCGTTGGTGGCGCAAGCCTTTAATCCCAGCACTCGGGAGCCAGAGGCAGCTTTAGAGATCTTTAGGCCAATTTTCCGCCTCGTGTATTTCACTACTTTAACGTGAAGCCCAAGACTGGTTCCAGCCTTCCAGTTCGGCCCGGGATCAACGGCTTCCCCAGCAGCCGGGACAGACTTGGACGCATCCCGCGGATCCCCAGGCCTCCCAGCTCAGCTGGCTGACAAAGCGTCCTCTCGGATGCAGTCCTTGAGTGACCCGAGGATGAGGCCAGCGGCAGACTCCAGGCCTCCCAGCTCGCCCTGATCTATCCCCTCAGTGATCCCCGAATCCAGATCGTCCTATTCTAGCCCCTGAGTCCCCCCAGAATCAGGCCAGCAGCGGTCCCCAAGACGCCCAGGCCCAGAGCCGGGAACCTTGGAAGAGAGGAAGCCCGAGGGCCTCCCCGCCCCGCCCTCGGCGACGCCACCGCGCCGGACGCGAGACCCAGACTCTCAGCCCAGACGTATCGAGCGCAGAACGGGGATGCCGCTCGGCCGGGCTTCTCCATCCCAAGCCGGCAGAGGTCCCCGCGGGCCTTCCGGAGCGCCCGGCCGGCTGCCGTCACGCTCCAGCCAATCCCGAGCGGCCGTGGGCAGCCAGCGAATCAGCGGCCCGCATCCCAGGCACGGCGAGTCGAACCCCGAGCCAGGAGTCGGGCGGCCCGGCGAGCCGGGCTGTTTCTCTGCAGGCCGGGCCAGGCGCGGGTCCAGGCCTTCCCGTGCGGCCTCTGCGCGTGCGCCCGCCCGGGAGCCGGCGGCCGCGGTGTCCGCTGCAGCCCGCCGCCAGGGTGTCGCGCTGATGCACGGGCGGCCGCGCGGGCCACCATGACAGATTACAGCGAGGAGCAGCGCAACGAGTTGGAGGCTCTGGAGTCCATCTACCCCGACTCCTTCACAGGTGACTCTGGCGGCCGCCCGCGCCGGGGCGGAGGCCGGGGCCGCGCGGCCCTCCCGCCCGCCCCTCTGCCCGGGCTCTCCGGGCAGTTTCCAGCCGGCTGCCGGCTCCCTTCCCCGCCGCCCTGAAACCTGAAGGGTCCCGGCGGCCCCGGAATCGATCTCGAGCGCTGTGGTTTCGTGTAACCGCAGCCTCCCGCCTCCCACCCCCCCCCCCAGCACGCGGGAAGAAACAACCGGGGTGCGATGAGTTAGAGCCGCGGAGGGTGCTCCCCACCCCCCGGTTTACCCTCGCGTGAAGTAGCGGCTGTTTTTTCCCCGCGGTGACGGTTTGGCATGCTGAGGTTTGAGAGCAGCGCACTCGGGTTTGTCTGTTTTATTGGAGTAGAAGAACGATCGCGGCAGTGCCTGCTGTACGGTGTGGCCGCCGTGGGGTCTTAGGTGCGAGGCGGCACGGTATAGTGGACTCCGTCGAGGTTCTGGAGGCCCTGGGAAGGCCAGTGGCTTGCGTTCTGGAGGCCCGCCTCTGTGTTCCTACTTCTTCCCTGGCCTTTCACCCTGCAGACGTAGGTTTTGGGATCCAGCATCAGTTAGGGTGAAGGAAGAGCAGATTTGAGCTAAGGGAAAAGGTGTGAGAAAAGAGATCATTATTAGGAGAATTCTTCCTCGCGAGCTTATGTTTCGGTGGATAACCTTCCTCTGGTTTTTCTTAGACTTGAGATTAGTCAAGGTAAAGCCATTTTGAACGCGTGGGCTCCAGTTTGATGGGGTTTACGTTTCACAGTCCTTCCTCCAAGCGTCGTCAGTGTCTAGGATTGTCTGAATTAAGAGCCTAAGGGATACTGCTTTAACTCCTGAACTCCAGTTCCACGCTGTGCTCTCGTTGTTTAGTGTTTTTTCTTGGCTTACCATTTGATCAACGTCTTGCAAATGGCAGCAGATTTTGTTCTGCTTTGCCCACGGACAGATGTCTCTCGGCTTCCCCTGGGTAGCTCCAGTCGTGTTCATGTTCTCTCGCACCAGCAATACAGCTGTGCTGAGGGTGTTAAGGGGATGAGTGAAGAGGGGTTTGAGAGTGTCATTGCCTGGGTGAATGTGTATGGAGTCTGGCTCCCTTCTCTCCTTGCTTAATATGTCAGTGTCAAACTCAAATAGAACACGAGGGTCAGTTGTCAGATAATATTAATCGTGATGTTTAGACCTTTCTAGTACTCTAGAAATATAATAAGCACGAACCCTTTGAAGGCAGAAGCAAACGTGCATGGGTTGTGTATATTCTTGTCTTTGATGTAAAGGTTCCCTTTGCTAAATAGTGTGCATGTGTATCTTACAAAGGTGATATATTTTAAATACTAAAGCAGTATTGTGCCAAACTTTACTAAGTCCCATTAGCTGTAGTAGAAGTTCTTGTCAAACACGCATGCGCTGAGTCAGGGTAACAGATGATGACAATTTATGACTATTTAGATGCATTCAACTATTCTTTAGTGACCAGTTGAGCCTGCTTCTAATTCCTGTCGGCATCCGTACACATTTTGCAATAGATAAAACTTCTTGATTTATACTTCATAGGGAGTTTTGTATTGCTTTTGATCATTGTCTTATGAAACCTTTAGGAAAAAGGCAGGTCTTTGAAATAAAATATTTCTGTGCTTGGTCTTGGACATTGTGAGGGTTTCTTTCTTTCTTTTTTTCTTGCTCTCCTCTATTCTCCCCCCCCTCCATCCTCCTGCTCTCTCCTGTCCTCCTCTCCCCTCCTCTGCTCCCCTTCTCTTTCTCCTAACTCCCTCTCACCTTCCTCCCATGCTCCCAATTTGCTCAGGTGTAGGAGCTCCCGTGTAGAGTTTTTCAGGTCACATATGTAAACTATTATATCATCTGCAAATAGTGAATGTTTGACTTCTTCCTTTCCAGTTTGCATCCCCTTGATCTCCATTTGGTGTCTTATTGCTCTAGCTAGAACTTCCAGTACAATATTGAAGAGATATGGAGAGAGTGGACAGCCTTGTCTTGTTCCTGATTTTAGAGGAATCACATTGAGTTTCTGTCCATTTAGTTTGATGTTGACTGTTGGTTTACTGCATATTGCTTTTTATTATGTTTAGGTATGTTCCTGCTATCTCTGATCTCTCCAAGACCTTTATCATGAAGAGGTATTGTATTTTGTCAAAGGCTTTTTCAGCATATAGTGAGATTATCATGTGATTTTCTTTTTCAGTTTGCTTATCTGGTGGATTATATGTTGAACCATCCCTGCATCCCTGGGATGCAGCCTACTTGATCATGATGGATGATTTTTCTGATGTGTTGTTGGATTTGATTTGCCAGTATTTTATTGAGTATTTTTCCTTGAATGTTCATGAGGGATATTGGTTTGTAGTTCTCTTTCTTAATTGTGTCTTTCTGTGGCTTGCGTGACACAGCTTTGTAAAAAGAGTTTGGCAATGAACTTTTTTGCTTCTATTGGGTGGAACAATTAGAGGCAGTATTGGTATTAGCTCTTTGAATTTCTGGTAGAATTCTGCACTGAAGCCATCTTGGCTTGGGCTTTTTTTGGTTTTGGGAGAATTTTGATGACTGCTTCTAGTTCATTAGGGGTTACAGGTCTGTTTAGATTGCTTATCTGTTCTTGATTTGATTTTTTAAAAGTAATATCTGTTCAGGAAATTGTCCATTTCCTTTAAGTTTTCCAATTTTGTGGAGTACAGGTTTTCAAAGTATAACCTGAAGATTCTCTGAATTTCCTCAGTGTCTGTTATGTTGCCCTTTTCATTTCTGATTTTGTTAATTTGCATGTTCTTTCTCTGCCTTTTGGTTAGTTTGGATAAAGGTTTGTCTATCTTGTTTTCTCTAAGAACCAGCTCTTTGTTACATTGATTCTTGATTTCAACCCTCAGTTTGAAAGTTTACTCCTCCGGGGTGAGTTTGCTTCTTTTGTTCTAGAGCTTTCAGTTGTGCTGTTAATTCTGTAGTGTGACTATTCTCCAGTTTCTTCATGTGGCACTTAGTGCTGTGAACTTTCCTCTTAGTACTGCTTTCAGAGTGTCCCATAAGTTTGGGTATGTTGTGTCTTCATTTTCATTGAATTCTAGGAAATCTTTAGTTTCTTTACCCAGGAATGGTGCAATTGAGCATTGTTCAATTTCCATGAGTTTGTAGGATTTCTGCAGTTTGTGTTGTCGAATTTTAACTTTAAAGCATGGTGGTCTGATAAGATGCAGGGGATTGTAGCAGAGTATGTGGTCAGTTTTAGAGAAGGTTCCATGTGTGCTGAGAAGAAGGTATATTCTTTTGTGTTTGGATGGAATGTTCTATAGATGTCTGTTAAACCCAATTTTGTCATAACTTGTTAGTTCTTTATAGTTTCTTTGTTAATTTTCTGTTTGGTGGTCCTGTCTAATGGTGAAAGTGGGGTTTGTGAGGTTTTATGTGTGGTTTGAGTTTTATTAATGTTTCTTTTTACGAATGTGGGTGCCTTTGTATTTGGGGCATAGATGTTCAGAATTGAGACTTCTTCCTGATGGATTTTTCCTGTGATGAATATGAAATGACCTTCATCTCTTTTGATTGATTTTAGTTTGATGTGTAATTTGTTAGACATTAGGATAACTGCACCAGCTTGTTTCTTGAGTCCATTTGATTGGAAAATCTTTTCCCAATCCTTTGCTATGAGCATAAAGAAGTGGGAAAATGGGAAATGAGAGCACTAACAAGTGAGCAGGAACCAGATGCCTGAGGGCCTTGTTGGGTTAGATGTGATCTGTCAGTAGGTCCTCCATGCACACCTATACAGTGCATGTTATAGACACTTGTGTCAGACCCGCTGTATTCTCTGGTGTTTGGGCTTACGCTCCACCTCTTTCTATAAGTGATCTTAACTCACTGAGGACAGATAGAGAGCTGCTTTTAGTTTTGTTCTTTGCCCCTTCCCTAACCTTTGTTAGGGTTTCACATAATTTGAATTCCTGACTGTCCTACCTCCACCTCCTAAATGCTGGGATTACAGACAGGTGCCACCAGACCTGCCCTGAGAACTGCTTATAAAAGCAGGTAAGGAGATAAAACCCCTATGCTAGCAAATGGAGCAGAGGTGCTGTTGGGCTGGGATAACAGGGTTATCCTACACCCCTAGATTTTTCCTGTGATTTGTGTTACACTTATATTGTTAGTTACTATCTTCTGTGGCTGCCACTTTTTCTTTCTGGCAGTTTTTTCCTCTGACTTTTTTGTTTTTTCAAATTAAGCACTCCTTACAAAGCTGCTGTTGGCCTTTGTGTTTTATCTGGTCTCTAATGATCTCGTTAATCTAATTCTAATGATCCCCTTAGTATGATAGCTTCAACTATTACCAGAAGACCCAACTTGAATTAACCTTGTTTGGCTCTCCTATTTGCTTGTTTCTGATTGCCCACTCCTCAACTCTGCAGGTTTCCCTCTATTTAAAATATATCATGTCTGATTTCTTCTGTACTCGTGTTTGACTTACTGGCACCATATTCGCAGCTGCAAACCCAACCTGTCATCACCATCTTAATTTCCTGCTATTCCCATGGCTCCCGTTCTAGTTCAGAACCTCATTATCCTTGCCTGGTTGCTTGATTATACAAGTTGCCTAGTTTCATC